TAAGAAAAGTTTGTGGAAAGATTCAAGAAGAACTATCACTCTTATTAATCTCAAATTACTCTTGGAAATCTATTAGCATGGATGTTATTACAGATTTCTCCATAAGCCTGAATTTTGAGAAGATGTAGTTTGACTGTATTCTGGTTGTAGTAAACTGGTTTATAAAGATGGCTTACTTTATCCCTACAATAAAGAAGCTGATATCAGAGAAATTGGCCCATCTCTTTATTTGTGAGATAGTGAGATTGCACAGATTATCTGCAAGTATAGTAACAGATTGAGAATCTCTGTTTATAAGTGAATTTTGGGGTGATTTGACTTACATCTTGAAGATTGTAAGAGTAATGAGCACAGCATTCCATCTGCAAACTGATGATCAGACTGAGAGACTGAATAGTGTACTAGAACAGTATCTATAAAGCTATATCAATTATAATCAAGATAACTGGGTGATGTGGTTGCCAATGGCTGAGTTTGCATACAATAACTCATAACAGGCTTTCATACAGAAATCATCTTTCCAGCTGACATATAGGTTGAATCTGTGAATGAAATTCTTGGATTCTGATAAGTATAGCTATATGTGCAAGAATTCAAGAGATCAGACAGAGATAATGAGATTGCTCTGTAAAGAGATCAAGAAATCACTCATAAAGGCACAAGTCTATCAGAAGAAGTACTATAATCAGAAGCACACTGTAAAGATCTTCCAGATAAGAGACAAGGTGTGGCTTGATCTTCACAATATCAAGACCACACAGTCTAACAAAAAACTAGATTTGTTGAGGCATGGGTCTTGTAGAATTGTGAAGAAGGTATGCTTGCAAGCCTACAGACTGAAACTGCCTTCAGATCTGTAAACTTATAATGTCTTTTATGTATCCCTGCTTCATAAACACAAGATCTGTAAAGAAATCAATAGCTCATCTCATCATGAAGTTCACAAGATAGATGAGGATGAAAAGAAGTACCAGGTCTGTAAGATAATTAACTTGAAGAGAGAGGGTCACAAGCTATAGTACAGAGTATATTAGAAAGAATATAATAATGAGAAAAACAAGATATAGATTTCTGTAAGCAATATCTGCCACTGAGAAAGCTACTCCAACAATTCTATAGTAGGAACCTGGACAAGCCTGATTCACAAAAGAGATAGATGGAGGTAGTGAAACTAGAAAATAGATTAGAAAGAGAAAAGACATAGTCAAACTGAACTAAATTCAATTGATTTCAAAAACAAAAGAAGAAAAACTAAACTAAGACTGTATAATTAGAGTCTCCAGCTTCTTCTGTAAAGATCTGTAACAACTATTCATAATCTTACTGCTGGAAAGAGCAAGTAAGATGTTTATGATATAGATAGTTGTTATATTTTTGATCCAAGCCTGCAGAGATGTACTCTGTAAAGACTATATTACTATAGTCTTACTAAGCTCTCTTGCAGACAGAGCACTTCTGTCCAGATGGTAACTGGATCTCAGTCTAAGTTATGAGAATTCTTTTGCAGAGCTGAGTGTGCACAGTCAACTGGTTTAAATTATTTAAATCAGTAATAAGCACAGTTCTTTGAATAGACTTGCAATACTATACTCTTTTACAGACAGACAAAGCTTGTGTCTCTATATAAAGAGAAAGATCTGGAAGAATTACTGAATTGATCTGCAACACATCAGTAAAAGTAGCAGCTAGTAGCATTTGAGTGAAGATGGTCTGGAATCACTATTATCAGTCTTACAGAGAAGGTGCTGGGCAGTCTCAAGTATCTTATAAAATCACAGCATCTACAAATCTTGCTGATGCAGAAGAAATAATAATAACAATCTAAAGAAGATTAGCTACAAACTGAAATATAATAGAGAATACTTATATTTCCAGCTAGAGCTAGAGCAACAATCATAGAGAGAGGAGACAGAGTGGCAGAACTCTAACTTCATCAGCACATGAATCAATATTAGCTTGCAAGAAGCACTTACAGCTTGAGCTAGTATGGGGGGGATAATAATAACTGATGGAGAGGAGGGAGAGAAAAGAACAATATTCTAGAACTATCAGTTATGAATACTTCCTAAACTTCTTATAACTACTTATCAAAGGCCCAATCTCATCTGTGAAAAGAGAGATGGGGGTTCTTCTGAGAAAGAAAAGTAGAGATAAGTTATAAGAGAGAGAAGAAGAAGACTGCACACTGGCAGCAACTGCTAGCAAGCATTAGTCTCTCTATAAATCAAACTCTACACAAAGACAAAATCTAATGGCCATATGAAGCAAAGATACAATCAGAGATAAACTCATCAGCTTGTAGTCTTTCAGCCAATTACAGAAAATATTAAAGTGAAGTTATTTTTCTTTCAGAATATCAGAGATTTTTTGTGAGTCTGTCTCTTATATAAAGCAGTGCTTGAAGAGTTCACTTATCTTGATAATAATAATATAGACTAGAGAAGAAAGAGAAGAAAAGAAGAGAAAGAGAAAGCAAGAGAAAGCTTTCTCTTAAGCTAGTGTTCATTATCTAATAGTGATACAGAGCTAGTGAGAACAATAGAGACTCTCTACACACTGTTGTATTATTAGGTTCTGTTGTATTATTAGAGTTGTGTTGATATCACATCTCTAGTGAGACTGTACTTTTTTTCTTATGAGAAAATTTTTATTTTTCCCAAGAGGTTTTTTGTTTTTTACTGATAAAGATTTTTAATAAGACAGCTGTCTTGAGAAATCAAGACTTACAAGAGAGGGGAATCTGTAAGAATTCATCACAAACCCCTTACATGAATGAACAGCACTTATGAAAGCTAGAGATCTCAGCTTGCAAGCTGCTGAAAGTTGCATGTGTTCTTGTGAGACACTAAGTCACATGCTCACAAGCATATATAAAAGACTGTCACTGCATGAATCTCTTGCTGAAAGCCAGTGGCAATCTTGTTTACAAGTTATACATAGTTGCCAGAATACAGACCTTTTACCTTGTGTACTCTTTTCCATGTATATTTCTTCTAGAGATTCATTGTCACACTGATCCATATGTATGATCCTCACAGAAACTCAGATAAACTATTTTTGATAGATTTGATTTTGAAAAGATTTACAGTCTTAAATTTATAATATAAGATAGAACAACAACATTTTGAAGAAGATTTTTTGAAAACAGAAATGATTTGACAATAATAATATTTTGCAGCTCTGAAGTCAAGTTCACAAAACTCTTGCATGAGTATGCTTATACATTTTATATTGTAAGAATGATGTGAATCAGCAGTATCAAAACTATAATACTTCTCTTAAAGATATAGAAGTCTATAAATAACTTTAATTATGGACTTTAAAATTTATAGCTATATCAGAATAACAAGAACAATAAATAAAGACATACTTATATTACAACAGATATAGATTTGATATTTTAAGTAATAAGTACAGAATTTCTTTTCAGCATCTCATACACAAGATTTAGCTTTATCTAAATAATCTACAAATATCAAGTATATCCAAATAGAGTAGCAAAGCACATTTTTTTTATTATTAAGAACAGAATCTTTTGATAATAATATACTAATAAACTGAAAATCAAAAGAAACAATAATACTTGCATTAAGATATAGCAAAAGAAAAGAAGAAGAATAAGAGTGAGAAACTCTCTATTTATATCTGCATTACAATGCACTAAAATTATTAGTTTTGTAATTTGTTGATAAATAATATAACAACAGAAAATAATTAATATAGTAACCAGATAAGCAAACAAATAAAGAAATAAGTATGTGATGAAATGCTGGACTCTTATAATAAGATAATTAATATTCTATAATAAAAAATCTACTGCAACTAGTAGCAAGATACATGTAAGATATTTATATAAACAAGTAGTAGAAATGCAAAACCTTGTACATTTAAGAATCTACAATACTTTACCAATGACAGAGAAGCTACAATAATAATGTATGAAAAACCAGTTTAGTAACTCTATGTCTTGAAGTCTGAGATCTCTGGAGAGAAGAATAGTGTTATGAATATAGATCTAGATCAACCAAGCATTAAATAATGTTAGATGGTCAGAGATACTCATGTGACCCCAGCTCTGAATATATAAGAATTACATAATTTACATGAATTGTGGGAATCTCAGTATTCAGTCTCTTAGTTAGAGGATCTCTACATTCTACACATGACTCTCTTTTATCAGTTGCAGGCATTGAACCTACTTAGTTCTTTTGTACTTTAACTTCAAGAAGAACACACATAATCTACATTTAGCTCTTTAACAATATGTTAACATTATTTCTTTTTAATTTGTATCACTTTACTATAAGAATTTTTATTTTTCCTTGAAATTAATATTATGTACTATATGTTATGTAACTTTTGTGAAGAAAGAACATCTTATATTATCTTGAAATACTTTGATTTTTCCCTTTTTTCAGTTTTTACAATATATACTAAATTCTAACAGATAAGCTGCTGAGTAGTCTTTGTAGTCACTAACTATATAAGACTATGATAAATAATAATAATAATAATAATAGTAAGTATTTCACAAATTACAGTTACTTTTTTTCTAAACAATCTGTCATTATCACTATAACTTAGAATGTAGAATATACTTGGAAATAAATGCTTCCGAACATGCTGCAGGCATGATATTGCTACAGCTGTTTGATAATGAGTGACATTCAGGTCTACTGGTTATTTAAGTTTGATCAGGCTTAATAAGCCTATAATATGCTGGATAAAGAAATGTTGGTCATTGTTCAAGCATTTGTCCATTAATGATAGTACTTAGAAGGAATAATGTATTTTGTAGAGATTATTACAGACTATGTAAATCTTTGTTTATTTATGAAGTTCACAAACAAGATGGCACAATGATAATATGTAAGATGGATTAAGGTTCTCAGAGTGTATGATATTATATATAGAGAATCCTTTCTTACATTAAAAGTTGTTTAGACTCTGTGATTGGTCAGATCTATTATTAAGCACCCTAATTTGGTATAGTGCCTGTTGTTAAAAGGAGATGTTCCAGCCATATAAAATTGAATAGAGATTGACCTGAAATTTCCAACGGTATCTCACTATTGGCAGGCCAATCATAAATCAGAGTCCTTTAAACGCCTCTTTCTAACTGCTCTTTTTCTGACTGTATTTTTAGCATACTACAACCACGATGCAATCCTGTCCTTGCAATGAAACAAGACAGATCCTGGTTTGTAGTGTTGATTGATCATCGTCGCAATATAAGTACATGGCGCAATCTCTTTACAATGCTAGTATACTCCACAAGATGGCCAAGAGAGAGAAATGATAAATATAGTTCCTGCAGGAAGTGAATTTCTTTTTCTTGACAATCAAAACCAGAGCCACAGCCAGATTCTCCTTGGTAGACCAGCCAAGGCCTTCCAAAAGAACATGCTTTTCGCTGCATGGAGATATTTCCACCAGAATGGTTGGTAGCGAAGTGCCAATTCAGGCCCAAGTATCCCTTTTCGAATCAGGGCTTCACAACTCTTTATCTCCTTCGCGCGATCAACGGTCTCGTATTGTGGAATCGAGCCTGCGATGTCTTTTGTTTTGCGCTTGAAGTCATAGGCTGCTAGAGCCATAGTAGGATAGACATCGTGCCAACAAGCAGAAATAAGTTCGTCAAAAACCTCGTGGCGGTTTAGCTCTGGAAACTCCATCTCGCCGAATCGGCGATCATATTCTGATCGACTGAGTTCTCGGTCCGTATCCTCGTAGGGTTCATGGCCGTATACCATAAAGTATAGAAGAGATCCCAGCGCGAATTGCTCAGTCCTAGCAGAGCAGAGACCATAGGTGTCTTTCAAAGGACCAGCGACAATTATTCTGGCGCGTGGAGGCATAGTATCTTCAAGGAACTGTCCAATGGTGGTGGCACGACCAAAATCTGTCAGCTTCAAATTGAAGTCCTTGTCAAGAAGACAGTTGAACTCATGCAGGTCATTATGACAAAAGCCGATTTTCTCGACGTATTCAAGGGCTGACCCTAGTTGTTGCAGCCATCGAGCGACAAGAGCGGGATCCTCGTATTCTTTCACACGACTAACACGCCCTTGGAAGCCATTTACCCCTGGCTCTCGCTCCTGGCGGGGACGTAATCGATGGCCGACAGTCTGGTTCGGGCAATAGGATAGAAAAATATGGTCAGGGAATGTGAGGAAACATTCAACTATATGGAAACATCGATCCTGGCGGTCGTTCATGCGTTTGAAAAAAGAGATTTCCCTGAAGAACGGATGCTCCAGTCCCTCCTCTTTCAACTTAGGACGAACAATCTTCACCACAATACTCGGAGTGACGCGGTGGATATTGGAATATGAACCCCCGGCAACCCAGTTGTGTTTCTCGGCAGTATCCATGCTGAAGATGGCGACGGTTAATTTGTAATCTCAATCGCAGCTGTGTAGAGTAGCAGGCGAGAGATTGATATTGGGAGGGCGAGAGGACAAGAGGACGAGAGAACGAAAGTGTTGGAGTGTCCATCTGTGTGCTGGGCGGAGAGAAGAGGAGAAAAAGAAAAGAGATTGAGACAAACAGGGGTGCTGCTCCAGACTCCACGCTATGCCGTTTTTGCCAGCACTATCTCAGTACCTTGTACAAAGTACGTCTACTAAAGCTTAATTAAAAATTCAGGCATCTGTGTATTTTGATATAATATCACGAAGAATAAGGACGGTATTCAGCATTGCAAGTGATAACCTGTTGTACCAGCAGACTCAAGCTAAATCATCGCGGCCCACTCAGTTCTAGCGGGCCGCTTCTTGAACCCATTGTGATGGGTCTGGCGCGGAACCCCCGAAACAAACACAACCAAAAAGATATCCCGGACCTTCACCTGATCTCCAACTCAGCGCCTGTCCACCTCTGTCCATCAGATAACAAACACTCAACACTCGCCGTACAATGTCCATAGACAGTGAACCTTGCCGAGCGATTCTGGAAGGTTATTAGATCTGCAGAATCTTGAGCCTTGCAGGAAGGACTGACAGGAGGGATATCTAAAAGAAGGAAGCGGCTTAGGCGCCCCCTTGGCGGCCTCGTACCATTTTCCGTCAGCTCTCTTGACCCAGAGACCTTTATGCTGACAATCGTCGCATGGAGTATGCGAGGTCGTTGCGGCAATGTTATCGTTTCGACCCTTTTCAATTCCACAGCCCTTGCAATCAGCATCCGGCACAAGACTCCCAGGCGTTTCAATCCTGTGGCGACAAGCACCGGTCTGGATATCGTAAGCCCTTTTGCACATTTTTCCGAGTCTATTCCTCTTAGTCATTCTCTATCAATAAGCCCTGGAAGAACAAGTACCTTCAGTTTAGAAAGCGAGGTTCGTGTTTGTGTTAGGAAATATCTTGTTTGGAAAGGCTTCGTTGTCTCCAGAAGACTTGCATCTGTTTGAAAAGAGTGAGGAAGAAGAGACTGTTTTTATAAAACTAAGTCTCCTTAAGGTGAGCAGTTGCTTGTCGCATTACTCAATAGGTGGAAAAAGCAGCCACGTAAAGTCCAGCACCAACTCTTTGAAGTATACCTCGACTGCGGTGAGCTAGGGCGAATGCGAGATGTCAAGATATGCATGGCGTCTCACCAACATACGTACGCTGGTGGAACGACCGGAAGTAAGCTTGCCACAATCAGAAGAGCAGTATGAAAGACTCAAAAGGCCTTCTCTAGCTACATTAAGATGCTGGAGCAAAGGCGATACCGAGCCAGAGCCACAGGTTGACTGACCATGGTCGGAGCTACTTCACTGCATTAGCTCAACTCTGTGAGGCGCTAAGAAACATGTCGTCGTCTTGGTATCCCGTGTTGGCCCAGGGGGTGTACATAGCCTCCATGCGCTTCAGGATTCGCCGGATGGGGGCATGCAAACAAGAGGGCCAGTTGAAATTAATGTCTTAATTCTGGATGCACTGGCTCGGCTAGTAGATTGATGACTCTCTTCGAGGCCAGCAAAATGTTCAATGAACTGCTTTCGGACAAGGTCAAGTTTTTGCTTGAGTGCCTCATAATCCTCATGGCTCACCCAGCCGTCCCATCCACAAATAGTTCCTCCTAGTGACTCTAGTACATCGTCCATCAGCGCTATCCCTTCCACCCACTTCGCCTCCAATTCCTGCTGGCGATCGATGGCTTCAGCTGAATACTGCAGAGGGCATGGAGGGCCTTCCTTGCTGCTGGTGAGTTGATCCCATTTGCTGGCGAGTTTCATCAGGAGCCCTTGCAGGGCTGGTTCTCCATCATTCAAGAGCATGCCAATAAGAGTGACAATCTCTCCCTGAAGTGTCTCCTGATATCTCAGTGCGTGATAAGCCGGTACGTTCATAGAAGCTGAGTAAAGATCATAGTATTTGTACAGGGTCTGCTCAACAAGCAATTCCTTTGCATGTTTCTTTGCAACCTCGTCGAGCTCTTCAAAGTTTTCCGGCAGGGATGGCGTCTTGAGACCTTCAAGTTTCGGTCCTTTGTAGTCCAAAAAGCACATCTCAGCAGCTAGGTAGGGTGGTTGATTGGTAGGTTGGTTGATTTTGGAAGGAAAAATCAACATGAAAGAACAAACAAAGCCCTTTGATCTTGAAAGATTTTCAAAGCTATACCATATTTAGTTAGGAAGCCTGATCAATAACCTCAGCTGGTGCATGATACATTCCAAATTTTATATGTTTCAGACCCTTTATACATATATGAGAAGAAATGGTTGCTATACTGTAGATCTACAGTTCTCAGTTGAGAAACTGGCGGTTGTCGGATAAACGTTTCCCGAAGATTGCCCAGAAATCTCATTTTTCCGGTATGGCTGGAGTTCACCACTGAACAAGCCAAATTTCGCCAAATACTCCATGGAATGAATTTATTAAATATCTCAACAACCAGATCTTTATTATTAAATAGCTATTAAATATTAAATGAATGTGTTTTTTGAAGCATAGAAATTAGTGTAGTTAGGAAAATAAACAAGTGGACAGTCTAATATTGCAGCCAGAGTGAGAGATTTAGAGAGTAAATAGAAAAAAATTCAAAGAAATGTCAATAGTAGATTTCTCAGCTAGAGAGTTTAATATCTTGCTAGAGAGACTTGTAAAGCTCTTACTTTCTCTTTTGAAAGATTATATGAACTCTTTATAATAAGACTTTTTAGTAGAAGAGTTCTTCTGATAATACTTTAAAGCTGGTGCTTGAAGCTCTGACTACTAATATTTAATAATATATTCAACTATCTGTTTTTTCTTTTCTACTAGTTGTAAAGTGTTCTTCTTCTTACAAGTAATATATTATGTCTTTCTTTATTTGGTGTGAGGATCGTACGTGTGGATCAGCGTGACAGTGAATCTCTAGGAGGAATATACATGGAAAAAGAGTACATGAGGTAAAAGGTCTGTATTCTGGCAACTATGTATGACTTGTAAACAAGATTGCCACTGGCTCCCAGCAAGAGATTTGCACAGTGACAGCCTTTTATGTGTGCTCACAAGTATGTGACTTAGTGCCTTGTGAGGACACATGCAACTCCCAGCAGCTCACAAGCTGAGGCCTCTGGCCTTCACAGGTGCTGTTCATCCATGTAAGGGGTTCGCGGCAAATCCTTACATTTAGTATGTTTAATTTTTTTTGATCTCTTATTACTTGCAGATCTTTTTACAAGTATTTTTTTATTTAATTTATCTTTTTTTAATATTTCTAGCAGTCTGCTTTTTTTGAAGCTTTTATTGAAGCTTTATCTCTTATATTTAAGTAATTTTATTAGCTTTTTCAGTCTCTATTTCATCTAGATGCTTGCATGTCTTAAGAATTTTTATTAGTGATTAGAACTGTGCTGTTACAAATGTAGACCTAGATCAATCAAGCATTAGACAACATCAGATGTTCAGAGGTACTCACATGACTCTAATTCTGAATGTATAAGAATCACATGATTTGCACAAATCATGGAAACCTCAGTGTTCAGTCTTCTAGTTAGAGAACTTCTACATTCTATGCATGACTTCCTCTCACCAGTTATGGATATCAAACCTACTTAGCTCTTTTATACTTTAAATCTAGGGAAAACCCACACAATCTACAACCAGTTTTCTAACATGTGTTTGATTAAAATTATTTTTATTAAGTAGATTTAAGAGCTTGTCTTGCTTACAGTGTTGCTTCTCTATTATTAAAGTTAATCTTAGATACTGATTCTTATATTCCAGTAGTTTATTATAAAAAGTAAATTACTTACTAACTTGAATAACTTATTTAATACTTTGCAAATTTAAATTATACTAGAGATATATATTCTTAATCTCTTGTCAGAGCTGGTGTATATTGCTAGAAATAAAAGATTTAACTAACAGTATAGAAGCTTGAGCAGTTTCAAATCAATGTAGTTAATATTAAAAATCTAAAGAATTAATTCCAGTCTTTACAAAGTCAGCAAGTATATTTTCAACTGTTAAAGTCTTTATTCAAGCCATATTAAATAATCTTTAAAAATCTCTTTTTATTATTTAAATATAGCTTATTCTATAATATAATAGTGCTTTTAGCTTGTTAAAATATGTCTTATCTAGTAGCTTAAAGACTTCAATATCAAGAGATTGCAAAAAGTATGTGAAATGCAGTAGAAGAATTATAAGAAGGATCTTTTTTACAGTTAATATATTTAATAAATTTTATATTTATATGGGAGAAATGTCTATCTAGTAGAATAGATATCTTTTTTAACCAGCTTGTTTCTTAGTATACTAATTGAAAATCTATTTTAACCACTTCAGTTTATATTTATTATTTCTTTAACTATTTGTTAAAACTGTAAAGTAGACCTATTCACTTCTATTATAATTATCTAGTCATGTATTCTGGAGCTCTTGTGATTTGCTCTGATAAATAAGAGCTGGAGGTAGTGTAATTTCTTCAGTGAAGACTGAGCAGAGCAATAAGAGGAATTTCTAACTATCATTCTGAATAGCAGTATTGTTTTTAGCTTGCAGGGCTTCAATAGAGACTAATCACTTTAAGACATAGCAGAAGCCTAGAAGAAATTCTTTTTTGTCAAAGTTAAAGATATTTAAAGACTCAAGATTATATTGATTGATTTTCTGCTTCAACTAAGTAGTAGGTTACAACACCAACATCATACTGCAAGTCTCTCTTTTCACAACTCTGTCAATTCTTGTTCAAATTGAATGAAACTACATTTATTTGAAAGCTATTTCTCTACTTAGAATATCTTCAATTTTCAGGCGATTTGCCTTATGAGTTTTTGAGATATTAGTGAAAATAAATGATGCCAGCTTTGCACCTGTCAGAAACACTTCTCACACTATTACTCAGCAACCACATGGTGATTTCTAAGTGGAGTATGTGACTTGTTTGGCCTGAATAGCAAGAAATAATTAACAAAGTAATTGAGAAGCTTTAAATTCCAATTTCTTTTAAAATTCTGAAGCAATTCAACAAGAATACTGATTTAATTTGGTAAGCAGATGTAAATTGCTGTAATCTGTTGACTGAAATTGAAAATGCAAAGTTAAAAATAGTACTAAACTCAAAAGAATTGACCAGCACACTGGTGAATTAAACTGATTAATCAGAAGCCAGCAAGATCTAGATAGCCTCAGCTCTAAGTAGTGAAGCTGACCTCTGACAGATATGAGTTAACTTAGTGATTTATGTAAGCCCAACTGGTCAATGAATTAACAAAACCAGTTGTCTCCCTAATTACGTCATTGACAGTTCCCTTGGGTGGCAACAAGAGGGAATATCTCTCGCAGTAGATATGATATTTATTGGTGTAGCTTCTTTTCACAGGACTGTAAAGTATTAGAGAGCAGCTATCTATACCACCAGACTTTGTGAAATTCATAGTCTTCTCAGGGAGAATTAAATGTATAAATCAGTATAATAATACATTTCTAGAAGAAATATATGTGGAAAAAAGTATATGAGATAAAAAATCTAGTATTCTAGCAACTATATACAACTTGTAGACAAGATTATTACTAACTTCTAGCAAGAGATTCACACAGTAATAATCTTTTATGTATGCTTGTGAGCACATGACTTAGTGTATTACAAGAGCAAATACTGGAGCAGGGTATGATGGGATGCCTTGTCAAGGTAGGTGAGTTGGTTGATATGGTGAGAGTGCAAGAAAGGTGAAAAATCACAATATAGTAAGGGTATGGTTGAGTAGTAAGTGTGGAGATAAATATGTTCTAACAGACACCTAAGCTCACAAGAAGTAATAGTACTAAAGAGCCCTGTACTAACACAGGCAGCTCTAATAAGAAATAGTAGCAAGTTTCATGAACAAGAAATCTTCATGTTCTCTAACTAATAACTGAACTAGTAATAAAGAATGAGTGTGTAGAAAAGAGCAATAGTGTGTGAAGGTAATAAGCAAGATGCAGAGGCTACAGATGGTTTATATAGCTCAAGAACAGTAGCTTTGAAGTGGTTTGCACCTTGGACCAGAACAATCTTTGTCCTAATAAGGTACTGGAATCCCCACTACAATACAACTTTTAACAACTTGCAAGCTGAGACTCTCAGCTCTTGTAGATGTTATTTGTTCATGTAAGAAATTCATGAGTGAATTCTTACAATTTAATTTGTATTTATAGTTTGTAGATGTAGTTTATAGTTCTTGTAACTGCTGTTAATATTGAAGCAGGGTACAATAAGATGCCTCATCAAGATAAGCAAATTGATTGAGATAGTGTGAGTACAAAAAAGATGAACATTAATAGTATAGTAATAATAGTAAAAGCTGAACAGTAAGAACAGAAATAGGTATGATCTAACAGATGCCTAATCTTATAAGAAGTAATAGTAGTATTATAAAGCTCTGTACTTGTTAGAAGAACTAGTTGTAGATCATGTAGATTTTCCCAGAATTAGAGGTATGAAAGAGCTAAGTAGATATGATGCCTGCAACTGATGGGAGGAAGTTGTGTGTAGAATATAGAGGTTCTCTAACTAGAAGACTGAATGCTGGAGTTTTCACAATTCATGTAAATTGTGTGATCCTTATACATTCAGAGTTGGGGTCATGTGAACACCTCTGAACATTCAATATTGTCTGATGCTTGATTGATCTAGATCTACATTTGTAACATTATTCTCTCTCTCAGAGGTCTTGAACTCTGAAACATAGAGCTACTGAAGTAGATTTTTTGTATATTGTTGTAGCTTCTCTATCATTGATAAAGTATTGTAGATTCTTGAATATGCAAGCTTCTGCATTACTACTGCTTGTCTATATAGACATTCTGCATGTGTATTGCTGCCAGTTGCAGTAGACATTCTTTATTATAGAACAGCAATCATTTTATTATAAAAGTTCAGTATTTTGTCATGTACTTATTTCTTTATTTATTTACTTGTCTGGTTGCTATGTTATCTGTTATTTATTGTCATATTATTTATCAACAAGTCATGAGACTAGCAACTTTAGTGTGTTATAATACAGATATAAATAGAGATCTTCTCATTCTTGTTCTTCTC